CCTGAGGCACCGGTAGAGATTTTGTGAGATTTTGTGCCCATGGGGCCGAGCAGAACGGATGTCCTTGTTATGGTTATTTTTATGCTCTGAGTCGCTCGGATGGGATATTTATAAAAATAGCGAAAAAGGGCCCTTTTTTCTCTAAAATTGATGTGGAATCCCATAGCCCTGTGTCTTTTCCTCCTCCGTGGGTTGTTTTTTTTTTGTTAAACTACATCTCTGCAAAGGACGCGCGTCCGGTGGTGGAGCTTTGACGGCACGGCCTCCATCCTGAGAAATGCAAACCGTCCGTGTGTTTTGAACATTGGTTTTTGGGGTTTGGGGTATTTTTCTTCTTCTTCTTTTTTTTTTTTTTTGTTTGTTTTCCAAAGAGAATTTGTGCTTTTTCTTGTCAGACCTGAGGAATAAAACCCAGTGGATGTTCTTAGCCTCCGCTTGTCTCGGCTGAGCCCGGCGGGGCGGGCGCAGGGCGGTGGGAGGGCGGCGGGGAGGAGGGGGGATGCCACCATGTGCCACCTCCCAGCCTGGCTCGGGGTCCTCCCCATGGATGTGGGGATGTTTGCATCGATGGGAGGATGAAGCATTTGCTCAAGCCTTTTCCGCAGCCTGCGAACGCCGAGTCCTGGCTAACACTGTGCCGGGGAGGCACTGTGCCTGGCAAGGACCATGGGCTCGTCCTTTCCTTACCCTCTTGAGGGGTTGCAAATGTTTTTTTCGTGCTTGAGGATGCTAAATCAGTCTCTGAGCTGGGTCTGCACCGTCCCCGTTTCCACCTCACCCTGCCAGCTCCCCACTGGCAGCTCCATGGGGAAGCACTTCCCAGTTAATTCCCTAGTGGAGGTACCGCAAATGGTTTCTGCTGAGCTCTGGACACAGCCTTAAAACCATTCCCGGTGCGAAGCACGTGTAAGATTTGTTAAAAACGCTGCAATGCCCGGGGTCGGCAAAGCAGAGGTGCCGATGGGCGGCGGGAGTTTTTCCATCGATCTGCGCAGCACCTGCACTGGGCACTCGGTTTTCCATGTCACCAGGACCTCGGAGTTAAAAATACAACCTCACATGCTCCGCTCCGGCTCATTGGGGATGCGGTTACCAACAACAGCCCATCACGTGCTGTAAACCACGGCGCACGGGGGGACACAATGGTACCCGCGCTCCAGGTCACGGAGGGGAACCGGGGGCTTTTTCCTTGGTTTTAGATATTATATTGAATTTTCAGCCGCTGTTCTGGAGCCTGGACACCCAGGCGGTGCACAGCACCCCCCGACCCCTCAGCGGGAGCCAGCCCCGGGCTCGGCCCCGACAGCTCTGCCAGGCGCGGCTGTGAGCACAGCAATTTTTATGAATAAAATATAATCCTCGAAATGTAATGCCGACACCGGGAGGGACGGAAAGCGGAAAAAGTCATGAGTCACGGCTCCAGCCCTGTCCCCTCCTGCCACCTGGAGCCGTCGTGCCCCACGGGTGGCACCACCCCAGCGCAAACTGTCCCTCCTCTTCCTCACCCCTTCAAAGAGTTATTTTTTTCAGCCTTTTGGAAAAACATCCTTGGCCTCTCAGCCTCCCCAGGCCCAATCCCAATTTTGTTCTCAGCGCCCCATCCCCTCGATATTGATGGGAAGGACCCCGGGGGAAGGCTGTGTGTCCCTGGGGTGACCCGCAGGCTGCAGCACCCCGGGGGTAGCCGCTGG